ATTTTGCTTGGCTTGCACTCCAAACAAATCCACATCACACGCCTCAAGTACTCGGCTGCCTCATGTGCACGACCGCCTCTCGCGTTGCCTATTCCTCGTCGCGCGCGGCTTCGCGCGCGCGCCTCGCACGCGTCATCCCTCGCGCCGCCTTTGCCTTGCCTAGTCCCGCGCGGACTAGGCTTCTCGCGCCCGCCCGTTACGCGCGCGTCTCCTTGCGCGCTACTCTTTCGCGACCGCCCTTGCGCGTGCATGCGCCCAGCCCCTCCTATTCCTTCCGCGCATAGGCCTGCGCTCGCGCCTGTCGCCCAATCGCGCGCTATCGCGCGCACACTACCTCGTCCGCTAATCCCGCGCGCGTACGCCCCAACATCCACGACCTGCTCGCCTACCGTGCACCCGCGTACACCCATCGCTGCCCACGTGCTGGCCACCCGTCCTCGCGCATCACCGCCCGATGCGCGCCTTTCGCCCGTTCGACCATCGGTTACCCCCGACCATCCTTCGGCCTTGACGACCACTTCCGTATCACGCGTATATCGCGCACCATTGCGCGCATGCACACGCGCACGGTAACACACGGCGATGCATGTGTGTGGTTCATGACTTGGATTACTTAGACATGAGTTCGATTTCGTATTTAAATCCAAACATTCTTAACCTTCAATAATTAATCCCAATTAATAATGTTCGTTTATAAAATATATGGTTCGGAAATTAATTATTAAATTCGACTCGGTTAATAATTAACCGAATAGGCTTTTCAACTTAAGGTCGAGCTTATTTACTTAAACGCTGAAATTGAACGAGATTAATAAAAGAAAATACATTACTTTCATTAATAAGAAACTGGGTTATTACAATCTACCCTCCTTAAAATATTTCCGTCCTCGGAAATATAAAACTGAACCTATATACATGAAAAGATATATACATCAGAACTGAAAATCAGGAAAACGAGCGCGAATGTCAGCCTCCTTCTCCCAAGTAGCTCCGTGGCAATCCCACTGAATACGAACGAGGGGAACATCACGCTTCTGGAGCCGTCGAACCTGTCGGTCCAACACAGCTACCGGTCGCCCCTCGTAAGATAAATCTGGATGGATCTGAATATCAGTATGAGGAATGACATGATCGGGTCGCACACGTACTTGCGTAACATGGATACATGAAAAACATTATGAACACTGGATAACTTGGGAGGTAAGGCTAAACGATACGCAACATTGCCCACTCGCTCGAGTACTTCGAACGGGCCAATGAATCGAGGGTGTAACTTCCCTCTCTTCCCGAATCGAACGACTCCGCGAAATGGACTAACTCTAAGAAAAGCGTGCTCGCTGTTAGAGGTATGCTGTAAAAGCTGTGTTATGCAGTTTCTATCAATTCCATTTTGATCTGGCAATCATGTTTCGGTCAAAGTACATATGTTTGCAGTTTATTTATTTATGCAATACATACTCCATGTCTTATATTGAGATAGTGTGGTTCGAAGAGTTTCGAACGGAAAGATCACCTATCGGTTCCTTATAAGACTAAACTATTCGTTCACAGTCTAGACTGGCAGTGAGACCCCACTTGGAAAAAGACTGTAGTGTATTCCGGATTCAGTTGGTCTTTGACTTAAGGATTACACTAGCACTTATGTTAAGTGTTGAAC